ACTGGCTGTCCAGGCAGAAGCGACACACGTTGCTTCTCACACTTCGTTGGCCAATGCAAGTTTGGTGATCATATGTGGTGTAAGGGTGGGGAATTGAAAAGCCATTTTACCCTGTGTCCAAAAAGATGAGAATTGATCATAATTGCCCCAGTTACTACCCCAAGGGATTTATCTCTAAAAACCAATAGACTCACATAAAAGACTTTTAACCATTGCTTCTGTTTTTTACCTCCTGATTGTCCCGCCTAAGTGAGACATCAGAATGTGTTCATGGAATCCTGGAAATTCTGCGTCCTTGTGGTCAGCTCCATCTCATTCTGCCATCCACTTTTAGGCCAGGGCCACTGACTCTTGCTGGTGTTTCATTTAGGGTTTTTGGTATTTGCTAAGTCCTGATACAAAGAGAAAGTTGACCCAGTTCCCTGCGTGTACCTCGTCCTTCTTCCTCCAAAGAATCCCGTCTCTCTAGCCACAGAATAGTTGCTAATCCCTGAGCATACTGTGTTATTCCATGCTCTATGCCTTTGTGCATATGGTTCCTTTATAGAAATGCCCATCCCAAGGTACCTGGGTGGCTCAGTCGGTTGAGCATCCGACTCTTGGTTTCGGCTCAGGTCATGATCTCACGGTTCGTGGGATTAAGCTCCTCATTGGGCTCTGTGCTGACAGCATGGAGCCTGCTTGGGATTCTCTCTCTTCCTCTCTGCCTGTCCCTCCCCTACTTGTGTGTGTGCTCTCTCTTTCTCTCAAAATAAATAAATAAACATTAAAAAAAGAAAGAAAGAAATGCCCGGCCCATGCCACTGTCCAACACCTCACACAGACTCATATTTATCCCAAGGACTCAACTCAAATTTGTCTTCCTGGAATTTTTGTCTACTACTTCCTTATATGTGAATCTATTGGTTTTCTGTAAAGCTCCTTTACCACCCTTTTCTTTAAATGACGATTTGTGCCTTTTGCTAAGGATGTAAAGGTAGACATGCTGTCTCTTTCCATGTGTGTATCCACATTAATGGCCAGAGAGTAACTTCATAGGTCTTTATTGAATCTCTAGAGCTAATAAGAGAGAGAAGTATGGCCCATACAGAGCAGTTATAGTAGGTCCTCTTAAGAAAAAAATACCTTCTTTCAATTAAATTATTTCTAACCACTAAAAGTTGACCCTTTCTTTTATATAACAAGTGACCCGACATAGTTACCTATAACGGAAGGAGTTTAGTAAAGATTTCAGCTGTGCTTGGGTATCAGCAACTGGTTTTTTGCACAGTTTGTTTGTGCATTACACTTACAGTCCTGTGGCCTAGACTGGCTGCTGTTGGTTACCAGGAGATGGATGGGGTTGGCAGATGGACGAGGTCCCTGATGGAGGGCTGTGAACTGCAGTGAGGCATTGCCAGACACGTTCCTCTGACAAAGAAAGAAAGCTCTGAGGTCAAAACACATTCAGTCTGCCACTTTTTTTTTTTTTCTAATTGCCGAGGGAAAGAATTGCATACCGTGTTCTTCAGGTATATATTTTAAGATCCTGTGCCCCCATTCCAAGCGTTCTGTAATATATGCAGTATGTGGAGAGGAGGAAAGGAAAATAGTGAGGGAGATCAAAAAAAATGTATTTAAAATAATTTGATTCAAGTGACCTACTTTCCAAGCCCATAACACCAATGTTTTGTGCCAATCAGATGCATAGGCCGTGCACAAACGGCTTCTCAGAAGAATACACAGCAGAATGCTGATTGGGAGACGTGGGCAGGAACTGGACATCTTCAAGAGGGTGGCCCTCCCAACTTGGCAGGTGGCCAGGTGAAGCGCCAGATGAAATGGAGTTTAGGTAGGGGGCCACTCATCTCAATGCCAGTCCCTGGTGGTACTTGACGTTCCAGCATAATTCTTAACAGTACCCTGTTTGGGTCTCAAAAGTGTCCTGGTCTGGAATCGGCACCCTGGTTTTAGGTCCCCCAGAATGGAGAATATTGGAGTGATGGGTGGGAAGCAGCAAGACTCCAGAGTGAAGAGGGCTCAGGGGAGAATTATTTTATGAGCGTACATTCTGTACAGGGTTTTCCTTAAAAGGCTTCATATAGTGCTTTCCGAAATGCCTCGCAGACTCTCTTCTGACGCACTTCTCGACATCAGTTTATTTTTCTTCGGTGCAGCTTTCATGGGGCCAGTGTGTCTCAACACAGCCTGGATTTCTTTTAGACTCATGGGCAGCAGGACCGCATGTGTGTGTGACTCAAGCCTGGACAGATTGGCTGTGAACGGGGTGATAAGAATAGAGAGAAGCGCATACCAGTAGACCACACTTCCTGTGCACAAGCCTTTGAATACTGCATTTCACTGTCTGAAATAGCATTCATCTTAAGGCTGGGATCATTTATTCCCCGTGGAATTAAGCAATAGCACTGGCAGCAAAAGCAACTATTTTGGGAAGGAGATGTGGGAGGAATTTTGCCGTGTCTGACAGGCTAGGCAGAAATACCCTTCGTGCTTTTGAAGACCACGCTGTTCGCCGAAGCCCCGGTAAATGGGAATTGACGACTTTCAGATAATCCCACATGTAAGTAATGTCCAGGCTAATGTACACACACTGTGATCTGTAAAGGTCAGTAAAGACTGAGTTTAGATGCTTCAACTTAAGTCCCCCAAATGGCAGAAAGAAGAACTTTTCTTTGGAGATGAGCAGTAGCTTCTAACGCAGATGCTGTTGAGAAGGGTTAAACTATAACGCCTCCTTCCTGTCCCTCTCTTGACATATGCCCTAGAACGTTGTTTTTTGCAAATTCCCATGTAAACGTTTCTCGATTGTTGAAGGGGTTTCAAATAAGGCAATGAGGGCTGTGCCCCCCCCCACTCCCTCCCCATAAAGCTGAGGTGGGTAGGGCTTGGCAGCCGGTGGCAGCTGCAGAGATAAATAAACACCGGGCTCCTGGATGGGCAGGATGCAGGAGCGCGTGGGAAGAGGTTGTGTGGCTATGAGTACCTTGCGTGGGACGAGGCCATGAGGACGGAGCTGCAGCTGGAGACCAGAAGTTCAGTCAGTGAAAGGGAGGTGGGGGCTTAGAGGAGCCAGTTTAATAGTCCTTTTGATCAAGCTATTGTATTTGCGGGGGCTGGGGGGGAGCATACTTTTTAGAGGACGGGTAAAAGCCAGATACGACTTAAATTTTTCTGTCTTGTCACTTAATTCATGTATTTTAATGGAAACCAGGGAATTATGTTGGTCTGATCCAATTTAACTTTTCTATTAGATGGTCCTTCAACTAGTAAAGAGCTGACTGCCAGAATTTTGTCTTTATAAATTAGCTGCCATTAGAAAGTGAAAATAGCAGCCCAGTGTTACTTTAAAATGTTCTATTTTGTTACTGATAACCAGTTTGGAAAATGTTTATCTATGGAAGGCTTCCGAGTTCTGTTTTCAATGTGGTACATATAACCACAACAGGGTTTTTGTTGTTGTTGTTGTTGTTGTTGTTATTTTATCATTTTTCTTTTCACTTTGGCCTTGGAATTATTGTGGGAGGCAAAGATGTTGAGGTTCCCCACCCCAAAGAGTGCTATCCGGGCTTATGACAAGCATCTCATAAATCATATCCTATGCCTCACAAACATATAAGTGAATTTGCTTAAAGTCAAAAACATCAATATCTACTTGTTTTGCATGGGAAACTTGGTGAAGGGTCAGTAGTGGTATTGTTATAGATATTAATGGCCTGTATATTGATTTTTTTAAGTTTATTTGTTTATTTTGAGAAAGAGAGAGTATGTGCAGGGGAGGGACAGAGCGAGAGCAAGAGAGAGAGAGAGAGAGAGAGAGAGAGAGAATCCCAAGCGGGCTGACTTGTCAGTGTGGAGCCCAATGCAGGACTTGAACCCACGAACCATGAGATCATGACCTGAGCCAAAATCTAGAGTCAGACGCTTAACCGACTGAGCCAGACACCCCTTATATTGATTTTTGTAAACAAGTGAACTATCATTTTATTTTTCAGTTAACTGAACCAAAGATGTAATGGTATCAGAATCTGAAATACCTTGATGTCTTTCTATCTGGACTTGACATGAAAAGTTTTTCATTTTTATGCAACATTTCTACTTCTTTATAATTTTATTTTTTCTTGATTTTTATTTTGTGTTTATTTATTTATTTTGAGAGAGAGAGAGCACAAGTGGGGGAGGAACGGGGCAGGGGGAGAGGGAATCCCAAGCAGACTCTGCACTGACAGAGCCCTATGTGGGGCTTGAACCCACGAACCATGAGATCATGACCTGAGCTGAAGTCAAGAGTTAGATGCTTAACCAACTGAGCCACCCAGGTGTCCCTCTACTTCTTTGTAATTTTAATTACTCATGTGAGAAAATAGTGGAAAATACCTTTATCTTGTAAGAAGACATAAGAAAAGTATTGAAAAATTTGAAGCATGTCAAGAAAAAAATATTGAAAAAATTAAAAAAAAAATTATATTTTAAATTAAAAGATCCTTTAAGTAGTATTCGTCTTTTTGTGCATCTATTTGTCTAGGATGTTAGAGAATTAATTTTAAGTGCAAGTGTTAAGTTGGCTAATATGTTAGAGGCAGAGAGATAGAAATGGAAGGAGGGTGGAGATTTTTTAAAAAGGAGATTGAGGGGCACCTGGGTGGCTCGGGTGGGTGGCCGACTCTTAATTTTGGTTCAAGTCATGATCTCGCCATTCCTGAGTTCGAGCCCTGCATTGGGATCCAGGCTGACAGTGCGGAGCCTGTGTGGGATTCTCTCTCTCTCTCTCTCTCTCTCTCTCTCTGTCCTCTCTCTCCCTCTCTCTCTCTCTCTCTCTCTCTCTGTCCTCTCTCTTCCTCTTGTGCACATGCTCTATGTGAGTAAATAAGTAAATAAGTAAACTTAAAAATGGATTTACCTGTGGGATGAAATTGCCAGTGGTCCCAGCCTCTTCAGTCTTTTTATTTGTGATTGTCTGCATTCTCACACACTCACTGACCTTCCCGTCTTCTGTGTTCTAGGAGAGACAGCGTCTGGAGACGATCCTCAGTCTCTGTGCTGAATACACAAAGCCCGACAGTCGCTTGTCCACTGGCACCACCGTGGCAGATGTGCAGAAAATCAATAAGGAGCTCGAGAAGCTGCAGCTCTCTGATGAGGAGTCTGTGTTTGAAGAAGCCGTGATGAGCCCTGAAACCAGATACAGGTGCCACCAGAAAGGCTCTCTCCAAGAGACGGACTTGGCAGTCTTCGGGGGCGTTGGTCAGAGCAGCGCCAGCTTCCTTTCCCCCAGGAGCATCAGGAATGAGGACCTGCTCAGGGACCTCACGTCTGCCTTCCTGAAACCTTCCAACGAGTCCGCTTATCTTAGTATCCTACCGAAGGTAAAGGCTACAGAGCAAGAAAAACCAGGATTTAGGGCCTGGGGCTCTGCATCTGCATTGGCCTAGAGACTAGAGGTTTTACCGTGCTTGTTTTCCAAAATGTTTTCAGTGAAGCTTCCATTTAAGAGGTAATTAGCTAAACAATGGGCAGCAAATTAGGGTGTTTAGTGTGAAGTAACAAATTTGCACTGTAAAAAACGTAGCAGTACAGAAAAGTAAGAAGAAGGAAGTTTCTCTTTTCTCTGCCCTCTCCCAGTTGTACACCTGAGAGATAAACACAAAGTATCTTACCTGCCTTCTTAATATTTCTGTGCATATACAAAGCCCCATGTTATAGGTACAGATGTACAGATACACACACATAGCGTTCTGGTCTTTCTTTCCTCACTAAATGTCTTACACATCTTTGTGTTTCAGTACACACAGCTCTGCCTCATTCTTTTCAACAGCTGAATAGTATTCTCTTGTTTGGAAATACTAGTTATTTTATTATTATTTTTTTTAAGTTTATTTGAGAGAGACAGAGCACGAGTGGGGGAGGGGCAGAGAGAGAGGGAGAGAGAAAATCCCAAGCAGACTCCATGCTGTCATCATGGAGCCTGCTGATGCAAGCCTCAACGCTATCTAAATGAGAGATTCATGATCCTGAGCAAACCTAAGAATCAGACACTTAACCGACTGAGCCACCCAGGCACCCCTAGAAATACTATTTAAATTGTTTTCTACTTTTTTTATTAATAAAACCTATATGCAGCAAATTGAGGTGTGTAGTAGCATGTATATATACTAGTATATATATATATATAACACACACACACACACACACACACACATATATATGATGTATAGATAGGTAGATAGATAATTCTATATATGATTATCTATACAGATATATATATATATATATATATATATACCTATATATATGTTCTATATATTTGCACCACTTTGTCAAATGTATTCTGCAAGATCACTCTACTAAAATATGAAATATGAAATGAGTTTGCATATTATTCATGTTAGTCAATTATTCCAAATTATCCTCTGAAAAGACTGTATATTTCCAGGCGATGCTTTCGCTAACAGTTTATGGGCATCCCTTGCTCTTCATACACTTGCCAAGGCTGTATATTATCAAAATTCTCTCTGGCTGTTGATTAATTGGTGTTTAATTTGCTTGTCTTTAATTATGCATGAAGTTGGGCATCTTTTCATATTTTAGTCGTTTAGTTGTATTTCTGTCCCCACTTCTTCAATGCTTCAACCCATTTTTAAAAATCTTGGAGCTTTGGTGGCTTAGCTGAATTGTTGCCTGATCTACAGGTCACCATCTCCGGCGTGAGTTCATGCGCCATTCGGCTCTGGGCTGAGTGGCTCGGAGCCTGGAGCCTGTTTCCATTCTTGGTTCCCTCCCTCTGCCCTCCTGTTCATGCTCTGTCTCTCTCTGTCCCAAAAATAAATGAACGTTGAAAAAAAAAAATTAAAAAAAAAAAAAAAATTGTCTTGTTTTTACTAAGTAGTGAGAGTTATAAGAAAATTAGTCTCTTATCATGAGTGGTCTTCCCCTTGACTTTACTCCTGATATTTTTTAGATATATAAGAGTTTAAGATTCACAGTTAGTCATAATTATTACTTAGTCTCCTGGCTGTATATTGATTTTAAAATGTCTTCTGAATTTGAGGATTTCTTAAATGGAATTGAAGGATAATCTTCTGGTGTTACTTTTTTCACATAAGTTAGGAATCTTTTTTCAATGAAATTAAAAATTGCCCTACGTCTTTTCTAGAAAGGTCATAAGAGAGCCGTAATAAGATATAAATTTTATCGGAATAAAATAAACACACAAAAAGTGGTAATAAGGAGGAAAAAACAGAAACCATAATCACAAGAATTTACTTAGTTAAATAGACAGGATTAGGTTATTAAGTAACTCTGATCATTAAGTTCAATTCTGAGATTCATGGCAATTATGGCCAAAGGATCAAAAACAAAAAAGATATATCAGTTAAATTTTTCTTATAAGAGGGACACAAACCGGTTAAGAGAAAGACGTCATCATGATCCCTAATTCTGGAGGTAGTTTATCACATGGAGTATATAGTTCAGGGGGAATTGGTGTGTTTGTTTTGTCTTTGGCCACAACAAGACTTTTTCAGTGTTCCTAGTTAGCAGTCCACATCTACCTTCTGAGTCCCTTCTTCATCTGCATTAGGACTCGGAAATGTGCAATCCTTCTTTCTCCTGATGACCATATTGACCTTCCTCATTCTCAGTGGAGAGCAGTTCTGAATAGGACATCTGTCTCTATTGCCAGAATGTTGTAACTGTTAGAAACTAGGATCTGGGGGGCAAATCAAAAGTCCTTTGTGTTCAGGCAAAGTAAATGGCCCACCGTTTGAAGACTTGAGCTGTTTTCATCAACCACTGGGTTTTCTTTGAAGTCCGTGGCTTCCTTTACATTTAAAATCCTTTCCCATTTCGTCCATCATGGACAGCTGCCAGATTTTTGTTAAAACAGTAAGCTGTGTGTGTCTCTCTCTAAGGACAATCTTTAGGGAGACAGGTTTCCTCCTGAAGAGGGCTGTGACAAGAAAGCTGCTGGTGTGTAAATGGGCGGATCATGGCAGATGTTTTTAATTGCTCAAATATGCTTTTGTGGAAAAGGAGGCCTCTGAAGCTTCCAGCAGCCTCCGTTGTGGCAAGACATATAAGACCGTGCATCCTTTCGAGACAGGAAATATCAAAGGCACCTCTGGTTACAGGCAACAGCTTAGACAGGCAGCAAGTGAGGGGGATGAGTTCCAAGGAGGGAGGTTTGCATTTATTACTTTTTGGAGACAGATATATGTTACTTCAAGACAACAGACAGAAGAATGCTTTCTTAAAAGTCCTGCCCATTTGTTTTGGACGCTTTTCTCTTAGTCATCTGCTCGCTGAATTCCTGGCTTAGCAAAGGACAGTGTTTGTTATTAATCGATCTGAGGATGAGTGGAGAAGAATGTGAAAACACTCTAAGCTGCTTCAAGGAAATGAAGATTTTAATGATATTTAGGAAACCTGAGATTTACCATTCTGGAACTTGTTTTACCTAACACTTAAAGATACCGATGACCTTAGAAATAGGCTAATTTTAACTGGCTTTTGTGAACTTGTCTTCCTCCCCCTGAGGTGAAAGCTGAGAGTAGCTCTCTCTTCTTTCTCCCTTTCTTCCTGTCACGTTGAGATGGGGTTGGCGCACGGCACCATGTACGTCTGTGCGTGGCATCATGACCTGACCCACACATATTGTGACATGATTACCACAAGTTTAGCTAACATCCATCACCTCATTTAGTTATTTGAGAAAAAAATGTTATTTTTCCTCGAGAACTTTTTCATTCTTCTCTTTTTAGTAATCATTCTGTCTACAGTGGACAACCCTCACACTTGTAACTTCCTCTGGTTGCAAGAAGTTTCTAGGAAGAGATTGGGGGGGGGGAGGGGGGAAGGAAGCTACAAAGTGTCTTGTTCCTACTCTCCCTCCCCTTTCTCTGTGGAGGCCAGGTTACCTCAAAGAAGGGATATTTAGAGATGTTTATACATGTGTAAACAATATTTTCATCCCATTCTATCACAAACCATTCAGAGTTTTAGAATGCCTTTGGAAGCTATTGCTTTTTTATAAATAACAAAAAGAACAACCGTTTCCTAGAGAGCATTTATTGCTATAAACAGCCTCTCGAGTTGTCTGTTATCAAATATGCTGATGGTGATAAATTTTTTAGAAACTTTCAGTTAGACATTTATAATTGCCACTGTTCTCTTTCTTCACCCACTGCCTGCTTAGAAAGTTTGTAGTTATGCAGATTGTTCAGTTTTTGTTTTCTCCTAATGCTTTACTTCCACCAAGTGAGAGAGATATTTTTAAACCCTGTTGGCGGTTGAAACCTAATATGAAATGTTGACCCAACAGGATACTGGCCTTCTTGAGGCTTTCCTGCTAGGATTACACGTCAGTGATTTCGGAATGCCATTCACTGTTACAGGCGTCCCTCACGCCCTAAAACGGGCACCTGAGTATTAGGACAGTGAGATTCATTGTCTGTGATCAAAAAAGGTCAGCAGTTGTTTTATTAATTGGTAAAATGCTGCATTGAAGATGGCCATTAAAGGGCTAAATGTTAAAGCTTGGAAGGTCCGCATACCTCTGCGAATCAACCGGAGATACTGTGGCATTTCAATTGTTTAATCTCTGTGAGGAGCAGTGAAGTAGGGTAAAGAATAAAGAATATGAATAAAGAATATGACATGATGGCTATCTTCCTAAAGTTATTTTTAAGATCATTAAATAAATGAACTTAGCACGGCATACCAAATGTTAATGATCTCTTTGGTTAGTATGAATATTCTTTGTACCGATTTATGAGTAATTTTCAATAATTTACTTATGGAGGCTGCTGTTTTCACTGTGCAATTGTGAAATTGTTTGATGATTGACTTACTAATGAAAAGAAATTATTGCTTTTTCAAAGAGAGATAGAAATTAAGTAAATAATGTGCCAATCCCCCAGCACCCCTTGACCTACAGAGAGACTGATCTCTATCAGGTGGTATCTAGGGTGACTAATCGGAAATTCCTGAAAGAAGAGGCTATTTTCAATTCACTCTACTCTCTTCATAAAACAATAGGCAGTCCCATTTTGGCTAAATGTGTATGATCTAAAATATTTCTTTATTTCCTGGGCATTTGTTGTAACTCTGTTACACCTAAGGGGTGTAAGTATGCCCTCTCTTACTTAATTTCTTTCCTGACTTTCACTTTCCTTTCCAAGGGAACACAGGTTTTTCTGTGAAGTGGTTTTATAAATGATAACCAGTGTGCTATTTTGTGTCATAAAAGCCCATCGGCCCAGGGAGTGTCTTAAACATTAGACGTGAAGAAAGTAGTGTAGGATAAAGACAGTAAGTAGTGTGTGAGCACAAGTGAAACATGACTTTATATTAAGTGTGTAGTTTTTAGTCATCTGGGGAGTCACTAAAGTAACGAGGTCCTGTATTGTCATGGTTTTTCACTTCATGGAACATTTCGGTGAAATGGTGGGGCGCCTGGGTGGCGCAGTCGGTTAAGCGTCCGACTTCAGCCAGGTCACGATCTCGCGGTCTGTGAGTTCGAGCCCCGCGTCGGGCTCTGGGCTGATGGCTCAGAGCCTGGAGCCTGTTTCCGATTCTGTGTCTCCCTCTCTCTCTGCCCCTCCCCCGTTCATGCTCTGTCTCTCTCTGTCCCAAAAATAAATAAACGTTGAAAAAAAAAATTTAAAAAAAAGAAATGGGCCAAGTGTATCGTGTCCTCACTTTTCCACCATGTGTTGGAAAAGAAACAAATCAGCCTGAATACTCATCTGCAGATAAGCCTAGTAGTGGGATGCAGTAGTGAGGCTGGAGATTGAAGAGACCGTTGTAGGAGATGTGCTCACTTGGAGACGGGAGAGAATATGGGGCTTGGCGTGAGGGTAGCAGCCTGTTCGAGAGATCCCTGAGGAAGATGTCAAAAGTCTTGTCTAGCTCTAGTTCTAGTTCTTTGCCATGCCAAACTTTCTCTATAACCTTAGAGCAGTCACTGTAATTTCTATGGACCACAACCTCCTCATCTGTAAAATCTCTTAGTTATTTCAGCTTTAAAAGGATATGAACTGGTAAATTTAAGTTGGTTTGTATGAGGTAACTTAAGAACTTTACTGCTGGGGATCTGTGAGAAAATGCACGATTCCAATTGAACAATCACAAGGATGCTTTTAGAATTCCAAGAGGCACAGAGACTGTGAAACACTAGACTTACTACTGGTTTATAAATTGGGAAATTCTGGCGTGGAAATGTGAATAGCCCTTTTCTGTGTTGATTAATTGCAGACCCCAGAGGGTATAAATGAAGAACAAAGGATTCAGGAGTTGGCAGCAATGGAAGAGACCCGGATAGCAATTCTCAATAACCTCGAGGAACTTGAACAAAAAATCAAAGATATAAATGACCAGATGGATGAATCTTCCAGAGAGGTATAAACCAGGGTTTGACTTTTTACCCTTCTCTTTTTTCCTCTCTTTCCTTCAGCTTAAAAATATTACTACCTATTAGGGCATAGGCTTTGGAAGCAGAATACATAGAAATCAACATGAGTTAACATTTTTTTTTTCAGTGAGTCCTGTATAGGGTAAAAATACCTTTTTAAAAATATTTCCTTTTTCCTTGCCTTTTTTTTTAAGTCAGATGAAACAAACATATGAAGCCATTTTTAACGAACTCTGGGTATAACCAATTTTGTCTTAACTAGTGCATGCTTTCTGACTTTCTACATGCAGATCTCAGCTGAGGTCCCATATATTTAGGTCTCCAAGTTCAAATCCAACAAACACTTTCTGAATATGCTCACTATGCGTTGGACATCATGTTGGTACACAGGGGGATCTGCATATGAATCAGTCCTTGACCTCGCTTCTGGGCTTTGTAGACCAGAGAGGAAACAGACACATGGTCTATTACTGTATCTCCATGGAACAAGAAGGAACAAATGATTCTGCCTAGCATGTTTATACTCACAGATGATGCAGATAGCTATAAGTAGAAGGGTACTGCTCACCTGTCATCTTATACACAGCCCTTGGATGCCCCTCCTGCTGACATTGCTAAGAATGCATTGCTTGCATGCTGACTGGGTGTAATTTTCGCCTCCCATGCTCTGTGGACAAAGAAAGACAAGGCTGCTCCCAAGATGGTTCGTGCTTGAGCCTGAATCTGAGCAAATCAGCAAAATATTATTGAGAAGTAAGCAGAAGAGGGATTATAGTAGAAAAATTAAATGATAGGTAGATTTCTTAGTGAATATATTGTGGGCTCACCAGCTTCCTTACGTAGGAATTTCGAATCTCAACTGGACTCTCAGAACTGTTCTCTAAGGCACCAAAGTCCGGCTGATAACATAGTACTTTTTGAAATTTGTAGCCGTTAAAAATGCATCTCTAACGTGGGCAGTTGAGAATCTCTCTGAAAGTGAAACACCTCTGAGCTTTGTTTTGTGTCCCCAGTTGGATATGGAATGTGCTCTTTTGGACGGAGAACAGAAATCTGAAACAACCGAACTTATGAAAGAGAAGGAGATTTTGGATCATCTAAACCGGAAAATAGCCGAACTGGAAAAGAACATTGTCGGTGAAAAGACCAAGGTAAAAGAAAAGTATATTTGAATGCAATCTTTATGAGTAATATGGTGGTTCTATTTGTTTGAATTTAAATGTCATATGAATTCCCTTGGTTTTGGATTTGTGTGTCATGCTCCTACAGACAGTAGTACCAGAGGAAAGTCTTAAGATGAGGTAAGTTCTTCCCAAAGAACCGTCAGGGACTGAGCAGCAGGTGCTAAGGGAGTAGAGCCCATGAAACTTTCGAGCTGATAGGAAAGCTTCTCCTACTTGAGATGAGTGACTTAATTGCTTTTTTCCAACAGCCTTGCTGCTCTTCTGATTGTGCTGTGTTTTTTTAAAAAATGGTTTTAGTATACTAAACTTCTTAACCACTGGTATCCTATAGGGGATGACTTAAGCATATTTGAATACGGTTGTCTTTTTTTTTTTTTTTGTCATTTTTCTGGTTGTTATTTTCTCTGGGAAATAGTTTACTTACTCTCCTACCACATTTGGAGTCAGTGATGGCTAAACTAAGCCTAAAATTAAAAAATGAAATTCCGATTTAGGAAAGAGAAAGCAAACGAACTTTAACACGTTTTTTTCTTTTTTCCTTGCTCACCATCTTCTTTACTAAGCCAAGAAAAAGACAAAAAATTCCATTTGAGCAAGTTCTAGTAGGCAAGGATTTCTATGTGGAAGGATTTCTGCTGAATGCGGCTTCCTTTTTTAGGCTCTTCTTTGTTTGAGACCTATAAATAAGGGCATTTGATCTTGGTGCCAGAGAATGAGCTCAAAGTGATATTGTCAGAAATTGATGTCAGACTAAAAGCTGCACATCAATTTCTTGGTTGCCTGCTTGTCAAGATTAACTACACAGCTTTTTCACATTAAGTTTTATGTATGTTCCTTCAAGCTCCAGGCTTTGAAACAGTAAAGAATCCATTTGGGTAGGTGGTATGTATGTCTTTAAAAGCTCAAAACCAAGTCAAAGGATTAATTGTCTAGATCTGCACTTAAGGAGGATGATGCTTTTCAAAGATTCTGCCCTGATACAGCAAGGAACAGTGGGAAGCAGTAGATGTGTTTGTTTGGGGTGCTTATTAGTATTTTACTATTTATGTCATACTGGAAAACTCATGGGACATAAGATAGGGTATCATGTTATCTATGAGCCTCTCTGCCTTCCCCATCCATGTAGCATGTGGTTATTTATCTTTGTGCAGCCCACATATGGCACGGCCCGCAAATTCTGTTTGTCTCCATCATTAGCATGAGACAGAAAAGTGAAGCAAGTCGGGTCAATGCTTAACCCCACTTCCCAGGGAAAGTTGTGTCATATTCTGTGGCCCTCAGGGCATAGTAGACCTCCAGGAACACGGGCAGAAACAAGAAAGGAGGCCACCTCCATCCTTCCTATTATTGTGTTGGTAAACCTGACAGACGCTCTGCATAGGAGAGGGGACAGTGGAGGCTTCAAGTGTGGGATTGGCCCTTGCAGCTGTTGGGGGATTCATTAGTCTTAGAAAGTTGGATTATTGTCTGTCATCACACGATGTGAAAAATGGCAGAAACTGGCTTTGGGATTCCAGAGAAGGATGAGGGAAGTGGAAACAGACCGGGTGAGATGATGTTATACATACTTTTGACAACCAAAGTCAAATAGAGACTCAGCACCACTTGGCAGCATTATCGTGTTTTTCAAAGAAACTTAAACCATTTTATGACATGGCTATTTCATTCTTTTACTCTACTCAAACCTCTGGTCCATTTTCCTCCCGCTGAGATGACCTCACCACCTACTTCCCCGAGAAACCAGATGTATCCCATCCCTTCAAGCTAAGGAGGGTTCCCTCTTCCCCTCAAAGATAAGTGCCTTAAAGGTCAGTTCTTGTACCCTATCACTCCATTGTGAGCCCTCTTCCTCACTTCCTGATTTACCATTCCCCCAGATGCAGTTGGCTGAGGCCCCCACTATTCCATCAGGTTTGTGCCTGTTAAGACTCCTGAAGCCCTAGGTGCCGCCCACCTCACTGCATGCTTTTTAGTCCTCTTGTGATCAGACTTCCTGAGCAGCATTCAAGACAGGGGACAAACCTGTGTCCTTGCCCTGGCCCCTCCCTGCCCCACCCCTTGGCCTCTGGGTGCCCCCTCATCTGGTATTCCTTGTCTTTCTCTTACTCATTGTCTCTGACTTTTCCAACTGAGTTCCCTTTACTTGTCCCTCTGCCTCTATACAACCAGTTGTTAGAGTGTTTGTCTCTGAGCTGAACCCTCTTCTCTTGTAGCCTCACATTCTTTTATAGCCACGGCTTCCCATCACCTATATATGCTGGTGACTATCGAGTGTATGTCTTTAGCCTACAACCCTTTTCTGAACTTCTGACTCCTATCCAGTAGCCTACCCGACATCTACACTCAGAAATTTCATGGCTATTGCCAAGTGAACACTCATAATGAACTCTTGATCCTTCCCCTTGTCTTCCAAATCCCTCCCC